ATATATTTTATTTTTAATCAAAATAAATTTCATCAATAATCTTTTTTAAATAAAAGTAGTTTTTGGTATATTTGTTTCATTTTATAGATGTAAGTATTTTTTTTTTTGTTCAAAAAATGTTTATGAATTTAATCATTTAAAATATAAAAGTCCATTGATTTTTTCTGACTTTTTCCATTGTTTTATCACATTAACTCGTTGTATAGGTCATAAGGATATATCTAATTGGTTTTAGAAAATTCAAGAAATTATTTAACATGTTTTTAAAAAAATATTCAAAAATTTATTTATTTCAAGAAATTGCTTGATCATTTCAAACATTAAACTTTCTCTTATTAAATTTCCTTCTATTTAACAGAACATTATTGAATGAAATGACAAATGACAAATGCATCACCAAGAAGAACATGCAAAAGTGGGTTCATGAAAATGGAGTTGGAAAGATACGTGGCATGGAACGTGTATTTATCATTCAATATTCATTTTGAGTCTCAAATCACTAAATAAATTGAGTAAGTAATTAATACCTAAAACGGATTATGTAATGCGGTTCAAGGTCTCAGATACCTGATAATTGGTATTCCTTTTTTTCTAGTCATCGACCCTAAAACGTGTATTTCTCAAATATGTTTAAAAATGCATCATCGTCCCCGACAAGTTCGGGAAACCTGTTTAATATAAAACAATAAATACAGTATATTTTAAAATAAATTACAAAATATTAAAATTCAAATATATTTGTCATTTAATAATAATTATATATATATATACACACACACACACTATATTCGTTTATATAAAAAATTAATTGGGGTCGGATTAAGGGCGATTAATGACATCATCGGTCTTGCTTCGGGTATGAAAATAAATTTCCATTCTCGTTCTGTTTGAGTCCAAAACCCACACCAGCCCTCCCCGAACCCAACCCCCTTGCCGGCTATTACCCCTTTCTATGGTCGTCTTATCTAATGATGTAGATGCAAGGACCAAAAATCTTATCCAGTGAAGCTAATTTCTCCAATTAGCTAGCTGTCTACAAATTTCATGAACACAAATCTCTAATACCCTAAAATTGCATTTGGTTTGCATAATTTGATTGGATTTAATGGGATTTAGAATTGAATTCAATTGCATTCACATATTTAAGATTTCAATTCCTTTCAAATTCAAATCCCTGTTTTTAATTTCAATCAACAAATTTCCTTCAAAATCATCATCTTGATTTACTAAGTGTGTGGTTGTATGGATGTGATGGTAAATTTTTCTTCCAATTGAAAGCATTAGAATTTAGAAATCAAGAGTTATAGCACACATCATAGGGGTGATGTTAAACCTCAATCCTGTAAACAGTTATTTATCTCTAAATTCTGACTATAAATCACATCAATAAAACCTTTTATAGTAATCTTTAAAATCCTCATTTTTTTATATTATTATCATCTCAGCAACATAAAAATCTTAATAAAATTTTCACTTTTTTATTTTGATTTTAATTTGCTCATTTATATATTTTTCTAACATATTTGAAAAAAAAAAACAAATCAAATAAGTATAATTTTATACTACAATTAGAAAAAATGCAACGTTACACAAATATTCATCTTAATAAAAACTAACCCTAAATGCTAAACGATAATATACATTAGACATGGCCAAAAACTTGTCTTCGGTCGAGTCAGGCCAGGTCAGGCCAAAGTCAATACCGAGCTGAAATAGTGTCCTTCTGGACGGGTCCCGGTCCTGTCAAAAATTGTTATGCCCGATTAAGGTTTACTGTAACCGGTTAGGATAACCGGTCTCGGTCCTGGGCCGGGCCAACTACCAAAAAATAATTTTTTTTTGAATTTTTTGTAGATTTTTAAAAATACACTTTAAAATATGTAATTGGGTCATTCAAATACACTTTAAAAATACGTTTTATTATAATTTTGATTTAGTAAATCATTTATAATTACATTCAAATTTTCAATTATTCAAAAATATACTTATTCATCGTCGGAATCCCATGTCGGATTGATTTGAAGAGTTTCAGTGGCTTGAATTCTTCTAATAGCGTCTTGGTCATCAAGGTTATTAATGTAGAGTTCCTCATCACTGTCATATTGTGAGTAATTGTCGTCGGTATCGATAGTTGGCGGCATACTTAGTCCCGTGGATTTTGTTTTCTTCCACCTCTTCAATCTCCACCTTTAATGATGTCATGTGGTGAATTTATCAACACTATCCAGGTAATCCTTCAAAGACACGCAACACTCTATGGACTTTGAGCTTAGTCTTGTTCGCCCTACTGAAATAATCCTGCTACTAAGAGAAAAAACATCCACTAAAGCTACGGTACTATCTTGGACTATTAGTATAACACATGCCATGCACGCCAAAACTGGAATTGAGGTTGTTTTTGTTTCAAAAAATGTAATAGATCATTTTTTTCACAATTCTTTGACATGATTTGTTGGGCATGCGACTACAAAGTTCGTATAAATCTCGCAACAAGTTTTTGGCGCCGTTGCCAGGGAATAAGACAAAGATAAAAGTTTTAGGAAGTAAACTAGAAGATTTGATTTTTCTACCATTTCGTCACTAGTTTTTGTATGGTGCATGTCAAGGCTACCTCACAGGGAGATTTTTAAATTTGATCCTAACATTGAAAAGACTTTTAGTCAAAGAAAAAGAGTGTAAAGAGCATTAACTGCTTTAACCTCTTCCAACATGGTTGAAGATCCAGCTCCCCTTAAACTCACCGATGCTGAGAAATAATCAAACTAGCAAATTTCAAAGATGGAGGAATTATGAACTATGTCATTCCTGTTTTTGATCGGTTAAATTCAGGAATAACTAGACCAAAAATGGAAGCCCTTCATTTTGAGTTAAAACCAATGATGTTTAACATGTTGCAACCCAATGGCCACTTCAGTGGTTTGCCAACTAAAGATCCTCACTCACACTTAGAATCTTTCTTGGAAACAATTGAGACTTTCTGAATCAATAGAGTATCTGAAGATGCTTTGAGACTTGTACTCTTTCTTTTTTTCCTTGAGCAATATGGCAGTCTTGGTTTAACTCCTTGCCATCAGTATCAGTTAATTCTTGGAACAACATGGCAGAAAATTCTTAAAAAACTATTTTCCCCCAACTCGGAACACTAAGTCCATAAACAAAATTTGTCTTTTATTTTCCTCCAACTCGGAACGCTAAGTCCATAAACAAAATTTGTCTTTCTATACAAATGGACAATGAGACAATTCCTGATGCTTGGAAAAGATTTAAAGAGCTTTGGAGAAAATATCCTCACCATGACATTCCTTACTGTATACAGCTTGAGACATTTTACAATGGTTTAAATATCGTTGCAAGACAAATTGCTCGATGCTACTTTAGGAGGAGCTTTCGCAGCCGGTAGTTACAATGATGGATATGATATTCTGGAAAAGATTTCCACCAACAATGGTCATTGAGCCAATCTACGTGCACTAGGACCACACAAGGCAGTTGGAGTTTGGGATGATTTCCTATTGGTTATTCTTCAAAATGGGTCACGAGAGCATTGGAAGAGTCTGGCATAACCTCAACTTATCAAACAAGGCGTGATTTGGTCGTATGATGTGGTTTTGAACTGGAAAATAACAACAAAATGTGTCATCCAAAAAAGGATTGTCGTTCGGCCTTTTTGTCAACCCCCGATTGACCAAGTTGATCCAAAAAAACATTACAACCTCATTAGAAATTAGTATATTGTCAAACTCTTAGACAAGATGCTTAAAAATATGGAAAATGGCACAATCAAATGTTCTATAATTTGATATCTTGTGTGTTTTAACGTGTGATGTGTGGAGCACGCCACATCACTTATCACATTCTTATATATGCATAACCGTCCATTGGGTTGACTCGAACTCGAAATCATGAAAAATGCTAAAGCGTGTAATTACATTTGAGCTGTTTGATATACCATATTTGGCAGCATGTTTATTTAACAATAATTAAAAATTTGTAAAAACAAAATTATTTATCCATGACAGTATTCACTATTTCATTTGACAACCCTGGTAATAATACCACAAGTATGCCAAAAGTAACATTTGCAATGAACCATATTTTAAATGATTCACTATTTCATACGCATTGTAGTGAACACAGAGTCAATTTAAGTGTTCAAGACAGTTTAGGAATGGTTCAAGATCGCCTAAAGAAATCAAACAGTTGTCAAAGCAAATATTCGCCAAACAAGAAAAAACCATTAAAAAGTTTGATTGAATTTTACAACAAAATCATGTTAAAAACGCAAAATAAGAGGTGTCTTTATGATCACAAGAGAACAATATATAATACAACGACTATCATATATCCTCATCATAACTAGAAATGTTCTGAAAAAGAGAAAGGCCGAAAAGATTTGTACATTATTTTTCACGTATAACTAAAAACAAGATTACTATTTCTTCGGTTTCATAATCGATGTTACAGAACTAAAATAAATAAATGAACGAAATTTTGTCAAGTTTTATACTCATAAGAAAACCAGGGCTTGCTTTTTGTTGCTAGTGCTCATCCGATTTAAACATGTCAGACGTGTTTTATTATGTCAAGAAAATATATTATGAATAATAATGACCAATAGATCAAATGTTTATAATCTTTTTTTGCTTTTTTAATGCTCCGTCTTTAGTTTTTAATATATAACCTACTTTTATTTGATAATATGCAAGAGTAATACTAAAAAACTTATGTGTCTTTATATGTATTAAAAGGGTACTCGTGCAATGCAGCGAGATGGATTTCGATTTTAGTATTTTTTTTTTTTTTTTTTTATCATAGTTTTAATACATTTTTGTATGGGTAAATAAAACCGATGTTACTTTTGTTTAATATATTAATATCTAGATATCATAAAAATTTGAAAAAAAAACATATTGATATTAGTATCAAACTAACTTTTTAAAATTTATACTTCTTTTGTGTGATTTTTTTTAATTT